AAGAGGTGTTTGCTGGAGGGTGGGAAGGGATGACTAGGAGGGAGTGGGGGAAGAGGGGCAGAGGGATTAGGCAGACGGAGAGAGGAGGGGGGAGAGAGAGGCGGTGAGTGACGGAGGAGCCATCACTGGAGAAAGAGACAGACAGACAGACACACATCCGGACGTCCTGTATTAAAGCCGCTGATCTCATCGCCGAAAACCCGTGACGTCATCGTCTCCATGGCAACCACGCCGCCCTCTCAGCCTCTCACTAATAAAGCAATAACACACATCACTCCCAAGTCGTACTCCACAACACCCAACTTTATCCGGACCAAACAACCCAACATTTACCTCCACTTGCAAGAAACACCAGAAGTGTCTAATTACACCCCGACAACTATACACCGAGTGGCACCTCTGGAGACCCTTGGCACCGGAGGTTAAAGTTGAAGGTCTGGCACCCTCACCGACGCCTTCACCGCCTTCCATTCTTATTATGGAACAAAAACACGCCAGAAAAATTTATCTCAGATTCAAGACAAATGATTCGTAACCGTAAATAATAAATAGTGCTCAGGACATCAACAGCGACGTATAATGGTGGTTAATAATGTCAACAGTGACTTATGATGTGACTCATGTCAACATCGTGGTCAACAGGAGCAGCACTCATAATAGTGGTCACTATTATGAGTGGGTTTTGGACGGGGTGTGGGTGGGGGTTGGGTTTTGGGCGGGGGTGTGGTGGGCGGGGTGTGGGTGTTGGGGTGGGCGGGGTGTGGGTGTGGGTGCTGGGGTGGGCGGGGTGTGGGTGCTGGGGTGGGCGGGGTGTGGTGCTGGGGTGGGTGGGGAGGGCGGGGTGTGGGTGTTCGGGAGGGCGGGGTGTGGGTGCTTGGGGTGGGTGGTGGGGTGTGGGTGCTGGGGTGGGCGGGGTGGGGTGTGGGGGTGCTGGGGTGGGTGGGGTGTTGGGGTGCAGGGGTGGGCGGAGGTCAAGCCAGAAATATGGGACGGGAGTGTTTAAAGGGAATGGAATGAAAGGAATTTGTTTATCAGAATAAGGAGTGGTAGGATGAGGTGGGTGTTGGAGAGGGAGAGTGGGGAGGGAAGGAGGGAGGGAGGGTTGGGGTGGGAGGGGTTAGGAAGAGAGGGAGGGAGAGAGGGAGAGAGGGAGGGAGGGAGGGGTTAGGAAGAGAGGGAGGGAGAGAGGGAGAGAGGGAGGGAGGGGTTAGGGAGGGAGGTAGGAGGGAAGGAGGGAAGTGATGATAAATCATAACGAGCTGCCTATAAACGGTAACATTTATAAAGAGCATAAAGTATACATTTCCAAACAAGTACGTTAGCAGTGACGTCATAGTAGATAAGCAAGGACTGCAGCCAGTCCTCTAAACAAAAGCCCAAAGTCCATTCCATCCACCCGCCAAACCCTCTAGCTGTTTATGAATGAAAAACGGTTTACACGCAACTTACAACTGTTGACGTTCGAACGCTTCCGGAACAAGTGCTTCACTGACGAATTTTGTTCGAACCACAACGCTATAAATGCTTCACCCACGTACTACAAATACAAATAATCGCCAACAGAACCTAAACACCTAACATAACCTATGCCTATATATGCACAATATGCTAATATATTATAATATTAATTTGTATTGAGAACATTCCCGTTTGGAATGAACTGCATGTTAAAATTTATGAATGCGTCTGTGGGGTCGACCGCTGGATGGAATGGACTTGAGTCGAGGACGGGTTGAGGACTGTGACGTCATGAAGTGAAGCGCCAACGACCACACGTGACTCATTCCCCATCTACACGTCACACGCCTACACATAATCTTCAAGATAACAAACACACTTCCTCCATGTTGGTTTGATATCTAGATATTCATGTCACTTTCCAATTGACGGTCCACCAGTTCCACCTGCTACGCTTCTCGTCAAATGCTCAATGTAACCCCATTAACGTTGTTTATCAATGGTGTATGCGTGACCCCCAAGCCAGAGAGCCCGAGGGCACTGTTTGACACCCTGATTGGTCTTCAGTTGGAAGCCTCAGGACCCCTAGAGGGTTCAGTGGCATTCCAGGTTGTATTATTGTGACCATATTGTGGTGTAGTGGTGTAGTCACACACCTCTCCTGATGAACACGTCACATATCCATCCCTATACAATGGGGACCTAACTGACTGACCCATACAAATAGTACCTGTGTACCGTACTGTGGTACGAGTACCCGGTCCTGTGAACCTGTAGGTCCGCTTCACTCATCAATATGGCGTACGCCACCAGTAGAGCTCTCTCCCAGGCTACGTCACCCCTCCCACGCACTCTCTCCTCTCCTCACCCACGCACTCTCTCCTCTCCACACCCACGCACTCTCTCCCTCCACACCCACACACACTCCCCCCCTCCACACGCACGCACACTCCCTCTACACCCACACACACACTCTCCCTCCACACCCACGCACACTCACCCTCCACACCCACACACTCTCCCTCCTCCACACCCACACACACACTCCCCCTCCACACACACACACACACTCTCCCTCCACACCCACACACATTCTCCCTCCACACACACACTCCCCCTCCACACACACACACACACTCTCCCTCCACACCCACACACACTCTCCCTCCACACCCACACACACACACTCCCTCCACACACACACACACACTCTCCCTCCACACACACACACACACACTCTCCCTCCACACCCACACACACTCTCCCTCCACACCCACACACACACTCTCCCTCCACACCCACACACACTCTCCCCCTCCACACCCACACACTCCACCCGGTCACAGGGATGAACAGTTATAAATGTTGCTGGGTCCTGGGCTGCAGCAGTCGGGTGGCCAGAGGTCACTATGAAAGCGGGTGTGAAGAGCCAGGTGAGGACGCCCTGGCGCCGGGTCCACCAGGACCCATGACCCGTCAGGTGGTGTATCCAGACTATGTTTACCTTCAGGAAGCTGGTGGACGTGTTGGCACGGCTACGCCCAATTAGTAGTGTTGGCGGTTGAAGCGCGGTTGGTAAATACACCACTTTCCACCACCACTGTTCCAAAACAATGAATTTTTTGTTTTACTACTCTTTGAAGATGGAGGTGCCCAGAAAATGGACCTACCCCAAGCGTCTGACTGAACCATCCAGAGAAAATAGTTTGCATCATCATGAAGGCTCGTCTGCAAGTCTCTCAAACTGTTAATATATAAATAAAGGAGTAAGAGCTTGTAATCGTTCTTGAATAAGAGTGGGCAGCGTACCCTGAGGAGCACTGGCCATGAGGGGCCATAGTAGTAATCCCCGTGGTCATCGGAGCGAGGAGTAATGAATAGCGCTGTGAAGCCGCTCCCATTCATCGGTGTCAATAGTGCAACATAGAAAACGAAGATTTCGGCAGTGTATGAAAGAAAATGACACCGGTTTACTATTAAGGACATACAATTACATATCGAGCATTTGAGCTAATGACTGGGACAATTTGTTTGTAAGGATTACCGAAGACCAGCTGAGAGCGAACTCTTAAAAATAGGCCTACCAAAAAGAAGCCAGATCAAGAAGACGATCACGAAAAAGGATACTTAGATATAGATAATGCTAAGAGAACTTTTATTTTGTTTAAGAATCAATATAACAATACAGATTTGACATAAAAGAATGTAGATATATATCCCGGGTCACGACTGACATCAGGCACGTGAAGGGGACCGAGAGTGTCGTCGCCGATGCCCTCTTCTCGACCTGGCTTGTGTGTACTTTTCCCCGAGACGACCCACATCGACTACACAGAAATTGCTAGAGCCCAGCGACATGACCCGGAACTCTTACAATTACGCATCTCTTCCTCGGCACATCTGCTCGTCGACGTACCTGTGCCTAATTCCGAGGATGCTATCACATGTGACACGTCTCTGATTGGCATCCTACGGCCATATATTCCAAAGATCCATCGCGGAGGATCTTCACAGCTCTCCACTAATTGTCTCACCAGAGCATCTGAGCTACACTGCGCCTCCTGACGCCGCTACAGCAGCCATGTATGGGACCTTTCCGGGTGCTGTCGAGGACTCCGAAACCCCTTACTATCGACCGTCGGGATGCTGATGTGGTTGTCTCGATCGATCGGGTGAAGGCAATACATTTCGACGCTACGCCAGCAGTGGCGATCCCAGCTGCTGTTCTGGAGGAGGTCTGGTATCCACGCTAACAAAATGAATATCCGCCAGCAGCGGACCCTCTTCCTGAAGAGGTACCTACTGATTTCTTTCAGCTACCGGTACCATCACCAGATCCGAGCCTTCCAGCGCCCGCTGATGACGGCACGGACGACAGCGATGATGACTTCAACATGGAGGGTCACACTACTCGCACGGGACGCACAGTGCACCGACCCGCCCGATTCCCGAACTCTCTGATACCTCGTCGTATAGAGAGGAAGGAGGAGTACTGTAGTTACTTCAGTAACCCCCTACAACACGACGGAGATAACGGAAAACGGTAGAGGAGCAAGAGAGAGGCAACCGACCAACGAGGGAACACGCAGACAGCCACGAGACCAGACGCTCTCTCGCACCCTCCTTGGGTCTGTACAGCTTTAGAATATATGTGTATGGATAAGAGATTTGCGTTTGTTTAATCCTTGTCTGGTGGATATTAGGGCACTAAAAGAATTAACAGGAACGCCTTGAACCCATTTGATCAAGTCATCACTGTGAGGGGACAGTTCCCAGAGACTTGCTTTGGTCCCATTAGTGATAAAGATAGACGAGTTAACCTCAAGTAGATGAAAATAACCACTAAGTTTCCATTCTCTACAGTCTCACTGGACGAGTCAGACTACTCACCAGGGAGGGGTAACAAGAGAGGGGGGTAGACTACTCACCAGGGAGGGGTAACAAGAGAGGGGGGTAGACTACTCACCAGGGAGGGGTAACAAGAGAGGGGGGTAGACTACTCACCAGGGAGGGGTAACAAGAGAGGGGGGTAGACTACTCACCAGGGAGGGGGCCAGCAGGCAAGTATACTGCTGGACTGTATTGTCTGCTGAGCTTCCTGTGTTCCACCTGCTCCCCGCGACCACCCCTGCAACACAACACCTGTTATTATGGTACACGCAACACACACGCACTTATATGCACACTCACACCACACACACTCATTCACACACTCGCACTCACTCTCTCACACACACACACACACTCATTCACACACTCATACACACACACACACACACACACACACACACACACACACACACACACACACACACACACACACACACACACACACACACACACACACACTCATTCACACACTCACACACACACTCATTCACACACACACACACACACACACACAGTGTGTGTGACGGGTGTGTCTGTGGCGCGGGTTCGATTCCCGCACGAGGCAGAAACAAATGGGCAAAGTTTCTTTCACCCTAAGTGCCCCTGTTACCTAGCAGTAAATAGGTACCTGGGAGTTAGTCAGCTGTCACGGGCTGCTTCCTGGGGTGTGTGTGTGTGGTGTGGAAAAAAAAGTTAAAAGTTAAAAAAAAGTAATTAGTAAACAGTTGATTGACAGTTGAGAGGCGGGCCGAAAGAGCAAAGCTCAACCCCCGTAAAAACACAACTAGTAAACACAACTAGTACACACACACACACACACACACACACACACACACACACACACACACACACACACACACACACACACACACACACACACACACACCATTAAAACTATTACCAAATATTTACAAATCAGCGTCTACATTTATTAAATTAAACAATTCAGCTCAATGAAAGAGATTAAGCTTTGGTTAGATTATGTTATTAATTTAGGTTAGAATAAGTTAGATTAGGCTACATTATTCTAGGTTAGGTGAAGATTGAGACCTAAAGAAAGAAAAATACACATTAATATAAATATGAATGAGGGTTTTATGCATGTCAATCACGTATTAATATATATATTCCAGGACAGTGGTGGGTAACCCTAGGCACACGTGCCAAACCTGGCACACGTTCCCTCGTATAACCCGAGAAAGGTCATAAACTCTATAGAATTCCATCTCCCGGGACCTACAGTTATCGCTGATATCTTGTATCCACAAGAGGAACACCATTTGATGCGTGAGAGGAGAAAACATTTGAAAGGAGTGCCCCATGCACCGCCGTTCTTCACAACTTACCTCTTAAGCTGCGTCACTCACTCGCTGTTAATATTAAGCATTGCGGCCGTCAGGGACCGCTCGTGACCGCGAGTGTGAAGACACACACGCGGTCACGAGCAGAGATTAGATTTTCTACAAAGGCGAAGATTAAGGAAGACATAACCGAAATATACAAAGGGATAAAAGAAGCAGATATAATAAGAATGTAAAATATTTTTTTAATAGGTTTTAAATACATAAAGCAGGAAATATAAAACGAAATAATACATAATTAACAAATCTGGATAATTTTAGATGCAGTAATGGCCTGGGGAAATACTAGCTCGGATATAGAATTGTGGATTAATGGAACTGGTGGCCAGGTTCCTATAGGCATAGCGCTGCCTGAGGGGGTTCAAAAGTAGGTTATACGAACATATACGTGGGTGGAATAGGCCTCGTGTAGGCCAATATGCTTTCCACAGTTTCCTCTAGTCCTTTGCTCCGGTGTTTCAAAGCCAATGCAGACGATGTCACAGTAAAGTGGCTGAAGATATGATCACCATACATCAGCAGATGGAGAAACGACGACGTTTCGGTCCGTCGTGGACCATAAGCAAGTCGTGTGTGGGACTTTATAATGGTCCAGGGCGGACCAAAGCGCTCTCCATCTTCTGATGTGTGGGGTTTGGTCTTTCAAAGCCAATCTTACAAAACATCATCTGCGAGATAGGCTGCTGAGTGAGAATTTAAATTACAAACTTTATATCCTTCGCACATATTTTTCGACTCGATAAACAAATACTTTAACTGCCAAATAATCCCGTTCAGGCGCGTTTGAATATTTCGTTGACTTGTTTTAATCCACTCCCAAGTAATAGCGTTTTGGCTAATTTGAACATTATGTAATATGACACCATATTCTGTCTTGATTATTTTCTTGTTTAGGGCTTCTATCCCTCTGACTAGTCCTCCTGCTTCTTGGTTTAATTGCAAGAGGATTTCTCCAAATATTATCATTGCTCGAGGTAAATTAAAAGAATAATTAACTGTAGAATGTATTACACTAATTATAAATGTACACAACGTTTCGAACCTACATGGTTCCTTCTCAAGTAATGGGACTGGACTTGGCGTATTGGATTTATATCATTAAAGAGGTCAGGTACATGATACAAGTAGGTGAAGCGCATGGCATAAAGGAGGGGCGGGGGAAGAATAGAGAATAAATGGGCGACGTAAAATGGGGACGAATAAAGCGGAAAATAGGGAGGAAACACAAAGATTAATTAGGTGTAGTGGACGTGACGTTTTGAGCAGTGTCGTCTACCTGGTTGATGGGGTTCTGGAAGTTCTTCTACTCCCTAAGCTCGGCCCGAGGCCAGGATTGACTTGCGAGAGTTTGGTCCACCAGGCTGTTGCTTGGAGCAGCCCGCAGCCCGCTCCAAGCAAGTCTACGTTGGCATCTTCACGTTCCAGTCTTGTTCTTACTCTCATGGCGAGGTAGAGTAAATAGTTCCGTTATTTGGGTATTTAAGACGGGTTGTTGGACCTTTATATGAATGGCTTGAAGAATTTGTAATCTTCTTACATCCTGAGTTTTGTCAATTATGCAAGTGTTTGTTTTCAACATTTCTCTTGTTAGGGTGATGTCATGGGCTTGTCTCATGTGATTTTTAGGGGCACCTGATTGAAGATGGCATGTCAAACGCCTCGTCAGCTTGGTCGACGTCATACCTATGTACTTGGATTGAAGGCTACATCCTTCGTGGGGGGCAGGTGTACATGTATACAACGCTTGACTGCTGTAAAGGGTTCGCCGTCGGCTTTGGGCTGTTTTTAATGAGGAGGTCGGTAGTCTTCTTTGTTTTATAGTATATGATTAGGTCTATGTTTGGGTTAGGAGTGGTATGCAATGTGGTTTGGTCGTTGTGTTGGACAATGTGGTAGTCGTTGTGTTCAAGGTGGTAGTTGGTGTTGGACAATGTGGTAGTGTGGTCGTTGTGTTTGGACAAGGTGGTAGTGTGGTCGTTGTGTTGGACAATGTGGTAGTGTGGTCGTTGTGTTGGACAATGTGGTAGTGTGGTCGTTGTGTTGGACAAGGTGGTAGTGTGGTCGTTGTGTTGGACAATGTGGTAGTGTGGTCGTTGTGTTGGACAATGTGGTAGTGTGGTCGTTGTGTTGGACAATGTGGTAGTGTGGTCGTTGTGTTGGACAATGTGGTAGTGTGGTCGTTGTGTTGGACAATGTGGTAGTGTGGTCGTTGTCAGACCGGTCACCACAGACCACTAGGACACTCAGGTCTGGGTGACAGAACACAAAATACTTCACCAGACAAACATATTTCCACAAAACATATCACCAGAACTGACAGTTTAGAATATATTCCAAAACAGAGAGGAAAAAGTAGATAGTACTGGGAGTTAGTGTGGGAGTACATGGGAGGAGAGGTCGTATGTGGAGTACATGGGAGGAGAGGTCGTATGTGGAGTACATGGGAGGAGAGGTCGTATGTGGAGTACATGGGAGGAGAGGTCGTATGTGGAGTACATGGGAGGAGAGGTCGTATGTGGAGTACATGGGAGGAGAGGTCGTATGTAGAGTACATGGGAGAACAGCTAGAGTGGGAGCACATGGACAGCTAACGTGAGAGATCATGGCAGGAGAGTGAGGGAAAACACGGGAGGAAAGCTATCAAATAAGTACATGGGAGGGGGAGTTAGTGTGGGAGTACATGGGAGGGGGAGTTAGTGTGGGAGTACATGGGAGGGGGAGTTAGTGTGGGAGTACAGGAGAGGAAGGGAAGGCAACTATCATGAGAAAGTGCCATGCCATTACGACTATATAGCACAGGGAAGGTGTCAGGATAAGGATTTGGGATGGGACGAGTAGGGGGGGGGGGATGGGAATGGTACCCAACCACTTGGACGGTCGGGGATTGAACGCCGACCTGCATGAAGCGAGACCGTCGGTCTACCGTCCAGCCCAAGTAGGTAGACTGGAGGAGGTCCAGCGTTGTGTGGCATGGGAGAGGGGTAGATACATTGAGCAGGCGTAGGAGGAGAAGTGTTTACGTGTGAAGGTTGAGGAAGAGAACATATTAACTCACCCTTGCTGGAGGTGTCTCCTCATCTCCAGCATCTGCTCCTCCAGCCTCTCTCTCTCCAGGTCCTCCTCGTTCTCCTCGATAATCACGTCGTCGTCGTACTCGTCCAGCTCCAGGCTGACGAACCCGTCGTCCACGAACGAGTCGTCGAATGACTCGTCAAGCATGAGTTCGTCGTCGTCTTCAAGATAGTCTTCACTGTCGTCGTTATTGTCTTCGTCCTCCTCGTCCTGATCTTCCTCCTCCTCCTCCTCCTCCTCTTCGTTAGTTTCAGGGCTCTCATTACTGGCGTCATTTTCGTCCGAGGAGCTGCCCGTCTCCAGGCTTTCCTTGCCCTTAAGTAACCACTCAGAATACCCAAGAAACTCGCACTTATCAGTTTCACTCTCGGTGGTACTATCCCCATTTTCTTTGTCACTCTCTTTCACTAATTCTGATCCCGATTCTTTCACCAATAAAATCCATTGCAAATTATTCGATTCCTTTTCTGCATTTGTTTCGCAAGCGTCACTTCGGATTAGCTTAGGTGGCTTGCAGCCGCTAGAGGGAGAGACGGCGTCAGCGTAGCGTAACCTCACAGACTTGATGCTACACCGACTATCACTGTCACTATCACTACTCCTGTCTGACCCACTTATTTCATTAACTTGCACCAGAGGAATTTTCGGAATGGCGCCACACACGGTGTCTTCTCCGGTGAGCGGGCCGATCTCGGGTTCGGCGAGACTCGTGTCATTTTCTTTCGTCTGTGCTTCACACCCACTTTCTTTGGTTACCGAGACGAACGCGTTTTCTTCGATAATTTCAATCGAGCTGGAGGTTGTGGCATCGCTATAAACCTCGTTTTCTATATCCTCCGTATCTCGACTGTTTTGAAAACGAATGAACGTCATTTTGGGGGAAGTAAGGTCGTTCCGGGCCGTCTGAATGGGCTTTCCTAGAGTTTCAATCGCTTCATCCTCATCAGCGAAGGAAAGTTGAAAGTTCTGGGACAACTGTTCGCTTGTGTTCATGTCTTCTTCGTCAGGTTGAGTTTGTCCATTTTCTTCGGTGTTGGCTTGATCTTCCCGTTCTTCCGCCACGTCGCCGCTCTCCACGGAATCGAACGAGGACTGTATTGCGCATTCAAACCTCCTCCTCAGATTCACTGCTGCCTGGACGATACGGAGGAGCGTGCAAGCCATATTGGACAACCGCACCCGCAAAAGAAGAAAATTAAAACAAAAGCCGACAACGGTATAATTAACTGCACCTGGCAAGGCATTGGTACTTCCTTGGCTCGCTGCCTCACCGTGTAAACACTAACAGTTTCTCGATGCTGGCTTTGGCTTCGTCCGTAAATACCTTTCCCCACAGCGTGTGTTGCCATTGTTCACTCGTTAGCTCACGTGTCATTTCAACTTTACTCTTTGCCGAACACATTTTTAGCACTAAATCCATCTCCTGCAATAGATTGTTGACGGTGAACATGATATACAACATTCTCTCACGGTAGTGACCATGGTACTTCATCTATGTAGGTCACAGTTGGAATGGTGGTTGTGGTGTAGCGCTACTTGTGGGGGGTGTTGTGGGGGGGTGGTGGTGTGAGGGTGGTGGTGTTGTGAGGTTGGTGTATGGTTGGGGTGGAGAGGGTCGTGTGGGTAGTTGTGGGGGTAGTAAGGGTCGTGTGGGTGTATACGGTTACATTTGTGTTCTTATTTAATTATATGTTCACCTTGGAGCAGCAGTGTGTAATTACCCAGTTATGCTTGCGGGGGGTTGAGCTCTGCTCTTTCGACCCGCCTCTCAACTGTCAATCAACTGTTACTAACTACTAACTATTTTTTTTCCACACATACACACACACACACACACACACACACACACACACACACACACACACACACACACACACACACACACACACACACACACACACACACACACACACACACACACACACACACACACACACCATTAACAATTTACTGTACACAACATCTGTGTATCATTTGTCAATGTCGACAGAAACAGTAAATTAATTACAAAGACTCGTTTTTCAGCCGCATGAAATTTCCAATGAATTTAAACACGTCAATTACTCTATACAAACTTGCCCGCCAATAATCTTGTAGACAACAAATTTAATTAACGCTCCGGTTATCTCCCGTCACGTGATCAACAAAAGGCTGGGGGCCAAGAGCTAGAGTTCGCTACACGTTGAGACAGGTAAACACAAGCATAAACAGAGAGGACGTCGACCTACTCGTCCTCTCAACAATTACCTCGCTTTTTTTTTTAATAAAATCGCCCAATCCGTTAAAAAAGCAACGTGTTAGTAAACATTTAAAGCATCGTAATACTGACGTTCTTCGTACTTGGGTCCCAGTAAGTTAGGTGAGCTGGTTATATACGGAGAAGCAAGTCGAGACAAGTGATTGGGGGAGTCTTTGAATGGTTCGCTGATTTGGGTGAGGGGGGGGAGAGGATTGGTAAGTAACAGCGAAGCAAACAAGGCAGCATAAAACAAGAGGAACCTCAGAGAACAAACAAGGCCGGTCTTGCTGTCATGGGGGGCGGGGGGGAGGGGGAATGTATACTTTCTCTCGGGTAAACAATGTACTGAAATTGTGTGAACTCGATTATAAATGCTCCCCCATTTATGAACAATAATATCTGCTTAAGTTCGTTTTCGTGATGACCAGGAATAATGGTCTTCCGTGAGCAAGGAAACTGAGATTACTTCGTATACGAAGCAACAGCTGAAACACAAATCCCGCTCAGATATGTATAGCAGCGGTATACACATCAAGAGGAAAACTCTTGGATGGTAAAGGATGGCAAACACCAGGTCTACCTTCACCAACCTGACCAAGAAGACTTTCAAGACAGAGCACGTAAGATCAAAGTCGTTCAAGACTTTCAAGACTCGTTCAAGAGCACGTATGATCAATGATCGAACTTTCTAAGACGCTAGTGCAAGCCTGGGTGATATATCACCTCGAGTCCAAGCAGGAGAAGGTGCGGACGTAGAGAACACTTGGAAGACTGTTTCTGCTCGAAATCGTTAAAAAGTAATCATATAGATACTTGGGAACTCCTAAAGTCCCTTTAATTGTACTCCTTGGAGCATGGGCGAGAATGTTACTTGGTACTGAATACTTACAGGCACAGGTTTTAAAACTGTACACTGAAGAAAGTCCTTAAGGAACCACTAGGTATGCCAGAATGTGTAGTAAAGCCACCTTAAAAAATAAGAGTCCAATAGGTATTCAAAAAGATAATTTAATAACATTAAGGGTATAAAGATTTTCAAATACTCTCTAAACATAAGAGGCCTAACTATACGATTCAACGTAAATGAGAGAATTTGATAAACATCTCCTTAGAGGACTGTGATTGCTGGATTAGAGTGCGTGTAGCATCATCCAACAGCCGGGTTGACCATATAATACACCAGAAGGTCTTAACAGACACCGAGCTGTTGGAACAGTGATCCGGAGAACCAAGATAACTTCGCGGTGAAGGCAGTTTGGAACCCCGACTAACAAAGCCCTTTAAGAAACCCAAGAATACCAAGAGGTTCTCCACCAAGAGAGTTCCAGACGCATAAGCTATGAAGATTTCTGTTCTAGGTCTCACAACGCTGAAAAATGGAAGGACAAGAGGAGACTTGATTACTACATACAAAATATTGCAAGTAGATAAGCATATGAAATTTTAAATAGGAAGGACCAGGTCCTTCGTAGTTGGCAAGAGAGCACACAAATAAGAGGTATGTTTGAGTTGTATGAATGTGGAATGAGCCGGGGCACAGTTTTGTCTCATACTAATTTTATACACCCAGGGAGTAGACACGCTGCTTGGGGTGTCTAGGGTGTGTTGGGGTCTTGGGTAATACGTGTCTTAAAACACCTATTACTCGAGATCAGAAAGATACTTAAAAGCAATATCATGACCCATTTTCTGTAATGAATCCAAAGCCAATACTCTCATTCACAGCTCTCTGACAATTTTTAACGAAAGGCTAAACATATATTACGAGAACTCGTTGCAGCTTATAAAAAGGCAACTACGGTCTCCAAATTAGTAATAATGCCACCGGGACTCCCAAATCGCTTCTGCTTCTAGTCGTCCTGCGCTCAAACGCTGACGTGACTCAAGCCTCCCTCACACACGACCAGCCTCAAGCCTCCCTCACACACGACCAGCCTCAAGCCTCACCTCACCCACGACCAGACCCAAGCCTCCCTGACATACGACCAGACCCAAGCCCTCAGCCACAAGGTGGCCCCCAACCCGCCCTCAACTGGCGTGGATATCCTCCCTCGGGGAAATTGACTAGAGTGGGAAGCGAGCGTAAAATAACGCAATAAAAGCAGAGGGAGAGAGAGATGGGAGCAAGGAAGGCGGCGGTGGAGAGTTTACGAGCAGGAGACCAAGACGGCAACACGGGTCGTTGGCTTCTTGCAAGATGTCATTTGCAACACTATTTTGGCGAATTCATTACCTAATTATGAGCTGTTCTTCAAGATGATGGTACCTTTATTTCTACCTCGAGCACACATTTCTTTTGTTCCCACGAGAACTTCCGTGTAATATCAGAAGGGTTGTTGCACCGTCTCGTTCTCTCTCGATTTGACACCCTGTAAAGATTAAACTTTTTTTTACCGACCGTCCAAGTGATTGGGCACCATTCCTTCATCCCCAGGTTTGCCTGGATGGGGTGGGGGGAGGAGGTAATTTAGGAGGTAATTAATACACATTAAAGACCGCCGTGACAACATCCGTTGTGTATGGCATCATCTGTGGCGGAGGAGAGAGAGAGAGAGAGAGAGAGAGAGAGAGAGAGAGAGAGAGAGAGAGAGAGAGAGAGAGAGAGAGAGAGAGAGAGAGAGAGAGAGAGAGAGAGAGAGAGAGAGAGAGAGAGAGAGCAGCAGCAGCAGCTCGGGTACACACTAAGA